CAGGGTGAGGGTGTAATACAAAGAAAAACTTCCATCACTTCTGCCCTTAACACTTGTCTCTATTACCTAAGCTTACTAAATAGTTTTCTTAATATTTTCCAATGTTTGGTGTTATCTGCATTGTTTTTTGTTTTTAAATTGTGGTTGTTCTGATGTGTGAAGTTTAAGGAAAGAGCCATTTAAAAAATGCCAAACAGGGCAATGCAAGTACAGCCAAATATTAGACTTGATGTGCAATCTTAGGTCCTTTATAATCTGGGGTATTATAGGCAGTACTTTAAATTGAAAAGTCTTCCTAGCCTATTTTCCTCCACATTTTTGTAATTACTCTGGGGGCTTGTTTTGGCAGTACTAAAATCAAAGGAGCTGGTTCTTCTTTTTTCCCAATTCTTTTCTTATGAAAGAAAGCACCTACAATTTGCTTGTTAGTCCTATTCATATACATCAAATATCAGTGAATGCTTTACTATTAGCACATTTAACCATCTTTGTTTCACATAAAATTAGATGAATATGAAAACCAGTGTTCCATTTTATATCTTGTTGAACTTGTAAAATGCCAGTAATTTAAAACTAGGACTCCCCCACCCCCCTCCTTAAATCAGGGAGGTAGAATTATTAATGCAAGGGTTACTTAAAGAAGGTAGATTGTTTTCAGTATTTGGGTAGTATTAGACTCCTCCTATGGGGAAAAACTAGCATCTCACGTTTTTTCAAACTTTGGGGAGGGAGAAATTCACTATATTAGGAAACCGTAAGGGTTTTTTTTTGCACTTTTTCTGCTTTTAAGGCCTAGATAACAGTGTCACATCCATATTTACAGAAGGGCAAACTGACGCTGAGAGAAGCTTTATAGGTTCAAGGGTTGCAGAATGTGAACCACTTAGGGTCCCTTGCTTTCCATGGGAATTTGGCTGAGCTTACTAGGAAAAAGCTGTTTGTTGTGCTAATATAAAAATATCATACAATTAGCTCAATTTTTGAAGATGGTAAACTTAAAAGATTTGCATGTTGTTCTGAAATGCAGACTCTTAGAATGCTTTTCTTTCAAAACAGGCTGATTAAATGTATTTTTTTTTTCCTGAAAGTTTAAAGTTTCAGCTCCTCTTTAAAGTTGTCAGTTTTTTTTCTGGTTTAAATTTCCCATATGTTTCCACCTGTAATGTCAGTGGCAATGACATCATACTTCACTTGTTACTTTTTACCCTTATTATAAGAGCAAGTTGAGTTAAACTTGAATCTTCCTTGTCCTAGTAACATTGTATAAAATAGTGGCTTCTCTGTACAAAAGGTTGCAATGCCTCCTGATGGATATAATTTTGTGATTGTATTTAAAATTAAAAGTTGAATAAGTCACACCAGCTTCCTGAACATGTTCATAATGCATCTTTTGGAAAACAAAAATACATGCCTACTTTGTGCATATTTGCATTAACATGGCAAAGATTGTATGAAATACCTGTTTTTCAAAAAATAAAGGTTCAGTTTCAAAAGATGTAGCATTTAAGCCTTGAATTTAATTGATCAAACTAGGTTCCACAAAGCCTAATTTTGGAAACTTGGGTAGCCTTTTTAAGTATTAATACTTCAGAAAGAAACCCTAATTTTCAAAAAAGTAACTATTTTGCTCTCAAAGTTCTATTGTATTTCAAACAGCAGTGGAAATTTTACTTCCACTGGTAAAGTTCTTAGTATCAAGGCCCAGTTTATTAAGCTTAATTTTTGCAATATTTAAAAACAAGACTCCCGCAGACCATTATGTGCATTCCCTGGGGTGTGAAAGTTCTGGAGGAAAATTGGAAATGTTCAGCTTGCTTTAGTATCTTGAAGACTGCCCTTGTTGCTGCTAGATTAAGTTAGGAGGATTTATGTTAACTGATTAGTCAGCTGGCACATTCCAAAAAATCACATCCTATCTTTGTAGGCCGAGAACAAAGCACTAAAGCAAGCTACATTAATGCTAGATGTTTTTAATAATTCAATTGGAAATTTGGTGAAAGATTCTTTTTTATTTTTTTTGAATTGGAGTCTCACTCTGTCGCCCAGACTGGAGTGCAGTGGCCACTCCCAGCCACTGCAGCCTCAACCTGCTGGGCTCTGGTGATCCTTCCGCCTCAGCCTTCCGTAGCTAGAATTACAGGCATGCGCTACCACGCCCGGCTGATTTTTTGATTTATTGTAGAGATGAGGTCTCGCTGCCCAGGCGGGTCTCAAACCCGCGGGCTCAGGCAATCCACTCACCTCAGCCTCCCAAAGGCGCGGGATTACAGGCTGAGCCACCGAGCCTGGCTGATGAAAGATTCTATAGCAGTGCTCCTGAGCTGTGGGTTTGGAAATAGATCTGGGAACAACATATCCCTTCAGTAACAAAAATACTGTGGAGAAACTGCTGCTTGAGTTGCTTCTGTGTTTTCACCTACCTGTTGCACAAGCTTGTGTTAAAAAGGCTTCCTTCTTAAATTGTAAATAGGGAACTTTTGGTGAAAACCAGAAACATATTTGGTAGTAATAGCTGATTTCCCAAAGTGGAAATGGTCAGTTTTTAAAGCATAATAAGAACTCCTGGCCTCCCTTAGGGAAATAGATGTTACTGTGCCTCTAGCGAGATTGCGCACCCAGTGTTTAACATATTCACTAGTTATGTGGCAGCTTATTGGATCCTTTTGTCCGTTTAATTATCTTTTGAAGAGGTGGAGGAGGGCTTGTTCCTCAAACGTCACAGCTTGAAAATCTTCCAAAATGGCCTCTGTATCAACGGGCTGCATCTTATTTATGCAATGTGTTTTTCTCCCTGGGCATACCCCAATTGAAGAGTCACCTTGCAAAGTCTTTGTTTTTTTCCTCTCGAGTGTTTCTACCTGGCCCAGATTCCTCACCCCAGCACCCCAAAGATCCATGGCAAATTTGATACATTTTCATGAAATTGACAGTGCTCCTGCCCTTACTCAGTTTTGTTAGGGCAACATGTGGTCTGTAGCTATGTTCTCTCACACTTCTTTATGTCGTTCCTAAGCTTTTAAGAACCTAAGGAGGCTGGGCTTGGTGGCTCAGCCTGTAATCCCAGCACTTTGGGAGGCCGAGGCGAGAGGATTGCCTGAGCCCAGGGCTCGAGACCAGCCCAGTGAACTTGGTGAGACCTCGTCTCTACAATAAATCAAAAATTAGCGGGCATGGTAGCAGTCACATGGAAGGAAGGCTGAGGTGGAAGTATCATGGAGCCCAGCAGGTCGAGGCTGCGGTGGCCAGGAGCATGCCACTGCCCTCCAGCCTGGGTGACAGAGTGAGACTCCAACTCAAAAAAACAAAAGAACCTCAGGAATGTTTTAAACATAAATTTAGCCAGGCGAGGTGGCTCACGCCTGTAATCCCAGCACTTGGGAGGCCAAGGCAAGAGGATTGCCTGAGCCCAGGGCTCGAGACCAACCTGGGCAAATTGGTGAGACATCGTCTCTATAACAAATCAAAAAATTTGCTGGGCATGGTGGCACACGCCTGTGGGTCCAGCTTCTCGGGAGGCTGGAGCAAAAAGATCACCTGAGCCCAGCAGGTTGAGGCTACAGTAACCATGAGCAACAGCGAGACTCCAACTCAAAAAAATAAATTTAAATTTGATGGCATAATATAGATGACTGTAAAAGGATAAAAGATCGGAAGTTGAAAACTATATGAAACAATATGAAAACTATATGAAGTTGAAAACTATATGAAAAGTTTGGAAGTTAAGCACTATAGTTAATTCACCTGAAACAAACATCTGATCAAGCCAACATTTGGCATGATTTTGTCTGTATTGAATAACGAAAATCAAAACACTTCTTAATGCATTTAAAAATCCTGGATGAGACGGGCTCGGTGGCTCAGCCTGTAATCTTGCGCTTTGTGAGGCTGAGGTGAATGGATTGCCTGAGTCCGCGGGTTCGAGACCCCGCCTGGACAACTTGGCGAGATCGCATCTCTACAATAAATCCAAAAAAAAAAAAATTAGCTGGGCATGGCAGCACGTGCTACTTGGAAGGCTGAGGCAGAGAGATCGCCCGAGCCCAGCAGGTAGAGGCTGCGGTAGCCGGGAGTGAAGCTCCAACTCAAAAAAAAAAAAAAAAAAAAAAAAAAATCCTGGATAGAAAGGTTCGGAAGTGTCTCAACATAGTTCCTAAATTGCGTATGAATCCATTATCCGCGAGAGGGTTTATCTTTCCTTAGCACGACCTCTAATGTAATAAAGGTCTTGTCTAAAACAATCCTTTTGGAGAGAGAGCTTGTGGTTTAAGAAGTAACTGCGGTGCCTATAAAGAACTCTCCTAAATATTCAACGTAAATAAGACACTTATTTACACATTTTCAAACCTTGCCTGGATATTTCCCCCCAGGCTTGGGCCTTATTCCTACTAGGTAGGAGAGAAACATTGCAGCACAATCCACACAGAGCTCTTTAAACTTGTCCTCAAAGCCTCACGAGGTGGGCACGAGACACAAATCTGGGCTAAACGGCTCAGAGGCGTGGCCAGGGCAGCGGGGACAAGGGCACGAGGGCCCCCGGGCTGGAGGGAAGAGATCCCAGCCGGTATCTCCAGCCTCCGGAAGGTTAAGTGTCAGATGCCCATCTCCGCCCTCCGCCTGATACTGCGTAGCGAATTTCTTTGAGTACTCAGTTTTCAAAGAGGCGAAGAGGGTACGAAAGCCACTGGGGCGGCCCATCCCGTAGAAACAGCGGCCAGACCATGCCCCTCCGCAGCAGCAGTTGAACCGCTTCCGAGAGCTCGGGGCAGGGCCTCGAACTTTCCCGGGCGTTGGTTGGTTATTCCCTGGCCCCGCCCCCTTGGCCATGCGCGGCAGCTCTCTCCTTTGACCTTTATTCAAGCCATGCGCTGAACATCGGTTGGTCCGGCTTCCCTTTAGCGTGTGTTCGGCCCATCCAATGAGGAGTGAGCTTCGCGAGGCCTGTCGGGAAGGGCGGCTGGCCTATATAAGCGGCCTGCGGGGCGTTCCCTGGCGTTGGGGTCGCAGTGCGAGTCTCCGGTGGAAGGAGGGTCTGTAGGACGAGTTTCCAGGGCTGAGACGATGGCAGAAGGAGATAACCGCAGCACCAATTTGCTGGTGAGTCCTAGTGGCCTTTCCCGAGGGAACCGAGCGAGGCCTCCGGGCTTCGGTGGGCTTGACGGGGTGGCCACCGCGGCCTTGTTCTTATCACCTGCGGCGGGCCCGGCCCTCCTCTCCTGGTTCCCGGCGCAGGCGGCGATGCCTGTTACTCAGACTTGTTGGTTAGTTCCTGCGTGGCGGTCACTGGTCGTGTCGACTGCCTAACATCCCCTGGGGATGATGCGATATGGGGCGAGGAAGGCTCATGATTGTTTACTGCGGACAGGGGTCGAGAAAGAAGCAGACAAGGGGGCTGTGTGATAGAAGCCTGGGATGCAGCCGGCAGAGGGCCTCGAGGGGCCCTGGCCCCAGTCATATCCAGGTTTATCTTAACTGGGATGTGTATGCCTTCTTTCCCCCTAAAACTTGGGCAAGGGTGGAGGGTCAAAGGGCTGCTGCCGAGAATTTCTGTTAGAGCTGGCACAGCTTAAAACGGTCCGAGGCTGCGAGCTCACCGCAGGGAACTGGGAGGGGGAGTCCCGCTGGATCGACAGTGCCAGGTCTTGAAAATCTAGGGAGGGTCACGGGAAACAACTGAAAAGTAATAAGCCGGGATCCGCCGGAATTGCAGTGTGGTGGTACCATAGGCGGACAAATGGTATTCATTACGAATTTAAGTGCACCATCTGGGCAAAAACAGGAGACATAGTCGTGCATTTTCTCCGTTATTCTTCCCCAGAGAAGGACAGGACACACACTAACAATGAAAAGAGGAACCAATCATTTAATTTTTAGCTCTTGAATTTCCAGGAGCCCAGATTCAGACGAGTTAAGTGACTTTTCAAGGCCATTTGGATTGTGCATGATTTTCCCTTTGCATTTGTTTTTAGGAATTCATAGTTTGTCTCCTTAAACGCACACGCACCTTCTCTGTAGTTAGTATAATTAGCACCCAACATGGTTTCTTTTAAGAGGATTAATTGAGGCACAAAGAAGTTGCCCGAACCCTATTGAAATGACAAACCTTGGGGAGAGCTCCTGATTCCCAGCTCAATTGTTCTTTCCAGCAGAGCAGTGTAACTAAGGAGAGCAAGGCCTTTGGTCTTGGTTTTCCTGGATTCCAACCTTTTAATTTCTGTATATCAGTTTCCTCATCTGTAAAATGGGGATACTAACAATACCTTTTTTTAGGTTTTTTGGGAAGATTAATTAAAGCATAAGCATATAAAATGCTTGCTTTCTTAACTAGTATTAAGCATGGGGCATAAAATCAGAAGTATTGAGGTCACCCAAGTGATCTGTTATTGCATATTTCCGAGTGATAATATTTGTAGAGATACTTTGGTTTCTTATTCCAGTTTTTTTCTTCCTTCAGCAAAACCAGCTTTTAAGGGCTCTTGCCATATTAGCTCGTCCTAGAGGTTTACTTTCAGATGTCAGTTTGCAGAGAAATTTGAATTTTCTTACCAAAATGTCCTCATAAGTGGTAAGAAACACTGTATTGAGGAGATACATTGAGCTTAAAATGCCACATCTAATTTGGTGAAGGTAATTTCCCTTAATTGTGTAATGAATGCCAACATCTACGTGATTCCATTACACAAAGAGCTATTTTAGAAATTGAATGCTGTTCTGAGAAAAGTCTTTCCTAATGGATTTAGAAGGATTTAAATCAATGAAATGACAACAGCACATCAATTCTCACCACCTGAAATAAACAAAGTGATCTAATTTTGTTAATACTCTACCACATGACTGTGACTTTGGGAAAGTGCTATTTTGAGTGCGCTTTTCTTTAGTTGTAAAATGAGTAGAATTATCCCTACCTTGTGGAGTTATATGAAGATTATATCATGTATGTACAGAATAGCCCAGTGCTTGAACTTGGAAGGGAGCCATTAAAGGATGTGGTGTTTTTTTGTTATTTTTTTCCCTGTTGGTTTCTATTTTTGGTACCCAAACTGTAATTTTTCAGAAACTAACTAGTTTAAGATATTTGATTTGACTAGAAGTTATGTTACATATTTGGTACCTTAGAAGAATTTAACTCTTTATGAACCACAAAAATGTCAAGAGAGGTAAAATGATGGCTTTAAATGTTGTTTGTAGGCTGCAGAGACTGCAGGTCTGGAAGAGCAGCTGCAGGGATGGGGAGAAGTGATGCTGATGGCCGATAAAGTCCTCCGATGGGAAAGAGCCTGGTTTCCACCTGCCATTATGGGTGTGGTTTCTTTGGTGTTTCTGTAAGTGAGCTATTCGATTACTGTGGGTTGTGCTGCTTATTACTAAAGGCTCAAGTAATACATAGCTTCCATTTATGGAAGCGCCTGAAGTCTTTTGTAATAATCTATCAAGAATATCTTTACTTATCGTCAGTTCTCCTAGTTTCCAGAATTTGTAATACTTATGTAAACTTGGTAACCTGATGTAGTTGTTGAGTAAATCAGTAATTCAGACTTTTTGGCCTCAAGACCCTTTAAAGTCTTAAAAATTATTGAGGACCTCGAATAGTTTTTGTCTATTCATATTTATATTAACCACTGTAGCTATGATATCAGCATGTCATGAAGCCTCTGGAATATTTCTTGTGAGAAAATTAGAAATAAATTGGCAAATATCTCTGAGAGCCAGTGGACTAAAGAAAGGTTAAAATAGACATCTTTAACTAGGAGTAATAATGGCTATGTTTTTCTAACCTTTATTAATTGTTTTTAACAGGATTATCTACTATCTAGATCCGTCTGTTCTGTCCGGTGTTTCCTGTTTTGTTATGTTTTTGTGCTTGGCTGACTACCTTGTTCCCATTCTAGCGCCTAGAATTTTTGGCTCCAATAAATGGTAGGTGGCATAATGATTTGACAATCTACTTTTTGAGTAGTTACTGAACTTGGTGGCTGTGATTAGTATGTTGTAATTAAGCAGAGACAATTGTGTGTCAGATACCTAGGGGTTAGATTTATTGTTTTCATGTGAAGAATGTTTTAACTGATTCAGATATAAATCATGAATTTTCAATAGTCTATAATTAAAGTTCTTATGGTTAACCAATCATTTTGACTTTTAAAAAATTTTTTATTTAAGCAAAGTTTTTTTTTTGTTTTTGTTTTTTTTTTACGTAGGAGTCTCACTCTGTTGCCCAGGCTGGAGTGCAATTCCACGCTCAAGGCTGCCTCAGCCTTCCAAGTAGCTGGAACTACAGGCATGCACCACCACACCTAGCTAGTTTTTTGATTTATTATAGAGACAAGGTCTTGCCAAGTTGCTCAGGCTGGTCTCAAACCTCTCACTTCTGCCTCCCAAAGTGCTGGGATCATAGGCATGAACCACTGTGCCTAACCTAAGTGAGGTGTCTTTATTTTATTTTATTTTTTTTTGAGTTGGAGTCTCACCCTGTTGCCCAGGCTGGAGTGCAGTGGCATGCTCATGGCCACTGCAGCCTCGACCTACTGGACGCAGGCAATCCTTCTACCTCAACCTTCAAGTAGCTGGAACTATAGGCCCACGCTACCATGCCTAGCTAATTTTTTTAATTTAATGTAGAGATGAGGTCTCGCCAAGTTTCCTAGGCTGGCCTTGAGCACCTGGGCTCAGGCAGTTCTCTCACCTCAGCCTCCCAAAGTGCTGGGATTACAAGGCTTGAGCCACTGTGCCCGGCCGAACTTTTTTTTAAGGTAAAGTTTTAACTTATAATGAGCTTTCTATAAAAGTACTTTACATTTTTATATTTCTACTGATATGTAAGATAGTACAATATTAATTTTACAAATTGTATTTGAATGAATGCAAAAACAGTAACTCGTAGATTTTATCCTCAATCACTTAGCAACTATGAAGTATTTACTATGTCAGGCACTGTTCTAAGTGCTGTGAAATATTTTGCTGGGCATGGTGGCTCTTGCCTGTAATCTGAGCACTTTGGGAGGTGGAGGTGAGAGGATTGCCTGAGTCCAGGTGTTCAAGACCAACCTGGACAACTTGGCAAGACCTTGTCTTTATAATAAATAAAAAAACTGGCTGCGCATAGTGGCATGCACCTGTAGTTTCCAACTACTTGTGAGGCTAAGGTAGAAGGATCCTCTTAGCCCAATAGGGCAAGGCTGTAGTGGCCTTGAGTATGCCACTGCCCTCTAGCCTGGGCAACAGAGTGAGACTCCGACTCAAAAAATATATATATTTTTTTACTTTTAAGATTAAACTTGTGTTTAAGGCTGGGATATTGAGGTATGACAGTGGCAGTTAACCAAGTGTTTCAGAATAGTTTCAAACTATAAGTGTGGGTTGTTGATTTTATTCATACCATTCTTTGTAAGGTTGCTTATGAGTTCCTAAGATAGTGTTAAGTGGCTAAGGATCATATAAAAAGTATTTTAACTTTCTCTAGCATATTTTGTTTTGAGTTGGAGTCTTACTCTGTTGCCTAGGCTGGAGTGCAGTGGCACAGTCATGGCTCACCGCAGCCTTGACCTCCTGGGTTCACCTCAGCCTCCCAAGTAGCTGGGACTACAGTTGCATACCACCACATGTGGCTAATTTTATTTATTTACTTATTTTTATTTTTTAGAGATATGGTCTCAGTGAGTTTCCCAGGCTAGTCTCGAACTCAGGCAATCCCCTCACTTCGGCCTTCCAAAGTGCTGGAATTATAAGCATGAGCCTGAGTGTGTGTGTGTGCCTTCCAAAGTGCTGGAATTATAAGCATGAGCCTGAGTGTGTGTGTGTGTGTGTCCGTGTCCGTCCCAGCTGGTCTGAGCTCCTGGAGTCAAGCAGTCTACCTGCTCACCCTGAGCCACCACACGTGTGTGTGTGTGTGCGCGCGTGCGTGCATTTTGCCCCGGCTGCTCTGAGCTCCTGGAGTCAAGCAGTCTACCTGCTCAGCCTCCCAAAGTGCTGGGATTACAAGCATAAGTCACTGTGCCTGACCACTTTGTCTAGCATTGAATTTCTCACCTTTGATCCAAAGTAGTGAGGCAAACTAGATGTTGGAATCAATTTTTTTTTCTTCCAGCAGCTATTCCATCTTGGTTGCTAATTTTAATTTGATTAGTATTCTACTTGTGCTTTTAGTTTTTTGTCTCCCAGGTGATAGCAAATTATAAAATAATTCTGTAAAAATAAGGATTTTTAATGTTTATCTTATGGATCCTTAAAAACCATATATTTGGGGGGAGTTTGCTTATATTATGGTATAATTAACCATGTTTGTTTAAAGTTGTTTCCCCCATAGCAGAATGGATTAGTGCTGAGAAATATTCTTTGAGTTGTTTTTCACTTGCAGTACTGAATTAATGTTATTGATTTTGGGGGGCAAGTTTGTGACTGGAATGTAACAGTTAACAAAGGGAATCAACTACTGACCTTGACTTAATTAGCCAGATGACATTCTAATCTGCTAATTCATAACTCCTGGAGGAAAGTTTTCAGAAATAACCACTGATCACTTCATGCTGCAATGACTCAGTTACCAATAGTGCAAATTTTATTTCTTGATCTTATAGGGAAGAAAGAACACTGCTGCATAGTCACAATCTAGGCTTGACCACAGGCAACATATGAGGTCTAATTGTTTGCAAGAAATTCCAGGGCTCAGCACAGTTTCTCCTAGTTTGATCTATTACTGAAGTTTTACATTATGTCTGTGTAGCAAAGCCAGCACAGAGGCATTTTTAAAAATCAGAACCAGGAAAACATGATACATATGAATAAACGGTTTTTCATGGGAGTGTCTTGGAGGATTTTTACTGCTGTCTTGTGTGTTGATTATATCTTCCCACATGGGGACTAAATTTATAAAGAAGTTGTACTGAAGAGTGCTCAGATAACAACTGTTTGGTGGGACTCTTGATGGGCATCAGGGCAGGATTCATTAGGATTTTTGTAAAGTATATAGGAATAGCAAAATCAAATTTATACTGATTTCTTCATGGTCCATAGAAGTCATGAGTCTTTTTTTACTGTCATTAACCAAATGTGGCTTCTGAGCCATAGATGATCATTTCTTTAATATATTAAAGACATACACACTTTATGTAAAAACTGACTCGTGCTGTAAAAGGTGTCTTAGTGGTGCAAGAACTTCACCTGCAAAAGATAAGAGTGAAACCGTTGAAGTGGATGGTGTGAGCTGGGCACAGTGGCTTACTCCAATAATCCTAGCACTTTGAGAGGCAGAACTGAGAGGATTGCCTGAGTCCAGGGGTTCCAGACCAGCCTGGGCAACTTGGCAAGACTGTCTCTACAATAAATAAAAAAATTAGCTGGGTATGGTGGCACATGCTTGTGGTTCCAGTTACTTGGAAACTGAGGCTGAAGGATCACCTGAGCCCAGTAGGTCTAGGCTGCGGTGGCCGTGAGCATGCCACTGCACTCTGGCCAGGGCAACAGAGTGAGACTCCTACTCAAAAAAAAAAAAAAAAGAAAAAGAGGATGCTGTATTTCTGTCTATAGATTTGCTTATAGCAAAGTGGAATTTCTTTTTCTAGGACCACTGAACAACAGCAAAGATTCCATGAAATTTGCAGCAATCTAGTAAAAACTCGACGCAGAGCTGTGGGCTGGTGGAAACGCCTCTTCACACTAAAGGAAGAAAAACCTAAGATGGTACTCTTTCTGCTTTGACTTATTTAAGTAAAGCGAAATTTTAAGGCTAAGTACATTTTAATTTCAGTATAATCTAATGGTAATCTTTTTAATAGTTTGATATTTATTATTATCCATTGGTTTAACTCCTAAATGCATTCATAAATATTTATCTGTATTAGACTAAATCATTGAAAATTTAAAAATTATATTTTGCATTTAGTGTTGTACTCTAGTAAAGCAAACTGTTTGTTTCTTTTTCTTTTTAAAAGTAAAAGACAGCCGATCATGGTGGCTCACACCTATAATCCCAGCACTTAGGGAGATGGAGGTGAGAGGATTGCCTGAGTCCAGGGGTTCAAGACCAGCCAGGGGAACTTGGCGATATGAGACCTCATCTCTACAATAAATAAAAAGAAAAATTAGCCAGGTGTGGTGGCATATGCCTGTAGGTCCAGCTACCTGGAAGGCTGAGGTAGAAGGATGGCCTTGAGCCCAGCTAGTCAAGACTGTGGTAGCTGTGAACATACCATTGCACTCCAGCCTGAGAGAGAGAATGAGACTCCTACTCAAAAAAAAAAAAAAAAAAAAGAAAAAAGGTAAAAGACATACTTAGAAAGCATCTGTTATCTCAGCTTTACATGGGATTACTATGTGAGGTAATTAATTGAAAGAGTAGTATAAACTGGGCTCGGTGGCTCAGCCTGTAATCCCAGCGCTTTGGGAGGCTAAGGTGAGTGGAGTGGATTGCCTGAACCCGCCGGTTCGAGACCCTCCTGGGCAACTTGGCAAGACCTCATTTCTACAATAAATCAAAAAATCATGCTGGGCTTGGTGGCTCAGCCTGTAATCCCGCACCTTTGGGAGGCTGAGGTGAGTGAATTACCTGAGCCCGCGGGTTCGAGACCCGCCTGTGCAGCGAGACCTCATCTCTACAATAAATCAAAAAATCAGCCGGGCATGGTAGTGCATGCCTGTAATTCTGTCTACTTGGAAGGCTGAGGCAGAAGGATTGCCAGAGCCCAGTAGGTTGAGGCTGCGGTGGCCGGGAGCAGCCACTGCACTCCAGTCTGGGCAATGGGGTGAGACTCCAACTCAAAAGAAAAAAGAAAAAAGAAAAGAGTAGTATAATTTATATTATGAATTATTTAATTGATATATGTAGAATCACAGTAATTCTAGGAGGAAATGTAACCAAATTCTATAAAGTAGATCTACTAGAATTTTCTGTGGGTTTTATAGACGACATAGGTTTTTAAATCTAAGTATTTTTAAAGAAAAGTGATAATAAAAGCTAAATTATTTTCCAGGCTTTGAAACAAACATTCCATCACCCAGGCTGGAGTGCAGTAGTACACTCACAGCCACTGCACCCTCAGCTTGCTGAGCTCAGGCAATCCTTCCACCTCAGCCTTCCAAGTAGATGGAACTACAGGCATGTGCCACCATGCCTGATTAATTTTTTTTTTTTATTTGTTGTAGAGACAAGGTCTCATCAAGTTGCCCAGGCTGGTCTCGAACCTGTGGGCTCAGGCAATCCTCTCAGCTCATCCTGCTAACGTGCTGGGATTATAGGCATGAGCCACTGTGTCCAGCCTACAAACGTTTTTTTAATTGACAGAAATTGTATATATTTATGGCGTCCAACATGATGTTTTGAGATACGTATACATTTTGGGATTGTAAAATTCTTTTTTTTTTTTTTTTTTAATTTGGAGTCTCACTCTGTCACCCAGGCTTGGAGTGCAGTGGCACACTCATGGCCACCGCAGCCTTGACCTGCTGGGCTCAGGCGATCCTTCTGCCTCAGCCTTCCAAGTAGCTGGAACTACAGACGCATGCCACCACATCTGGCTAGTGTTTTTTTGTGATTTATTGTAGAGACAAAGTCTTACCAAGTTGCCCAAGCTGGTCTCGAACCCATGGGCTCAGGCAATCCTCTCACCTTGGCCTCCCAAAGTGCTGAGATTACAGACTGAGCCACTGTGCCCAGCCTTGTGAAATAAATTCTTAAAGTCACACTTCTTAGTCTGTTTCTAGAAGTTGTAAATTCCTGCTTTTTTCCTTGTTAGTACTTCATGACCATGATCATTTCTCTTGCTGCGGTTGCTTGGGTGGGACAGCAAGTCCACAACCTGCTTCTCACCTACCTGATAGGTAAGTCTAAGGAAAACATACAAGCACATTCTGGCCAATGAAGCCTAACTGAAATTTAGCCAGTAAACAAAAATGAGTACTTGCCAAATTTAAGGCACTGATCAAGGAACTGTGGCAATATATAGAAAGATGACTAAGACACCCAGGTCCTTGTTTTCAGGGAATTTATGGTCTTACAGGAAGAGAAGGCAGAACATAATAACCAAGGTAGACAGTAATGTGCAGGAGATAAAAATAGGCAGTCATTATTATGTGTGATTGAAGAGGGTGTGATAGCAGAAGTTTCTGGGGATAAATCCCGTTGGAAGTAATGGATTTTATTGTCTGGGAATCTACATTCTTGAAAATGTAATAACCTTCAGGAAGTTAATTGCTGCCTCAATTTTGTTCTTTTGTTTGTTTTAAGTGACTTTCTTACTGTTGCTTCCCGGACTAAACCAACATGGAATCATTTCGAAGTACATTGGAATGGCCAAAAGGGAGATAAACAAGCTTCTCAAACAAAAAGAAAAGAAAAATGAGTAATTCGCCTGCTGTATTCAGTGTGATTAAGGGAGTATATGTCCCTGGGAACAGTTTCTACTGTACCATCTGGATACTAAAATGTAACAGAAGCAGCTCTTTGCTGTTCCTCCCTCTCCCTTAGCTAATAGAATTTCAGACTGCCAAGTAAGGCTTTGTGCATAGTGTCTTCATTCAAGTACAGTTGATGCATTCTCATCAGTTGGCCTTGTGTGCGCAACTCATTAGTGACCCGACTTGTTTTGATTTTTCTCACCCAGGGTTAATTGAATTCTTACTTTTAGATAATGTCCTTTAAAATAATGTAGTGGTGAACTTTAACCTTTAGTACAGTTAAAGTGACTTTAGATAATTGTTCGAGTTGATGTTTGCTTTAGCTAGATACTAGGTAGTCTGTGGCTACAGGAAGCTGGTTCTACTGTTTGCTTCCACAGTCTGCTTTAAAAACTATCTGATTTCATGAATATATAGACCAAATTTACCACTTCTGATGAAGAGACCAATTCAGATTCATTCCTCATTCTGTCTCTTTACTGTGGGTGAAGAATCCCCATGGAATAAAATGAAACTAATTCTGTGCCCTACTATATATAGGTTTCTCCCTTGTATAAAACTTGGCAATTTGGAGGAAACCTTGACCCTTTTCTCTCAAAGAGGAATGTTTGACAGGCTTAGAACTCTTGTCACCTTGCACATGGACTTCAAGCAAACTTTCAAAAGTTTGTATTTCGGGTTTGTAGCAAAACCTTGAATTTCAGATTTCCAGCAAACTTTAGCTATAGTATTCAGCAGGTTAAGACTCATGTCTATGACTTTTACTCCAAGGCCAGCCAGTAAAGGACAGAAGTCTTCTATGTTCAGTCAAGATTCATTTCGGTAAGAAATAATCTTATCTGACTAATTTTTGAGGCTAAAATAAGGCTTCAAAGGTAAGCCTCAGAATTCTCATTTTTGGTAATAACAGTTGTTTGGGTTCCCATAGTTTTGGCATAGAAGAGAGTGACTACACTGGTATCTGAATTTTTTCCTAGAAATTTCCTGAAAAATGCAAGAGCTTTTGGTGAGAGCAGACTTGAGGTCATGATAGTTGGCCTTTGGTCTACATAGACTTTGTAATTCCTTGGAAAGCTTCTTGTAATTATTCTTTCCCTCTCAGGAGCAAAAAATTTAGAGTAGTTGAAATCTGTGGGAGTGAACCTCTGAGGGCCAAAAAATGTGACATATTTGGGAACAATTCTTAAGTTGATAAACTAGCTGTAATATAGTTTTGTGAATTTATTGCACTGATGCTGTACCTTGTGATATGTCTGTCCTTGTTAAATAAGTAATATTGTTTTTCTCTTTAATGTTGCTGTAAGCAGTGGTGTTCATTGTAGCATATGTTTGGTTTTGTTTTTTAATGTTTCTTATGAAAACTACCTTAATTTTACATGTGTTTCTTCATTGTAAATAAGCCTGTTTTCCTATCAGGATTTTTTGTGTGTGTGTGGATACATGTTCTACTGATAACTACTTTTACAGTTTTAATTCTGTATTATTTCTTCTACTTTGTTTTGTGAAAAGGGGAAAATTAAAAAAATAAAAAAAAGCTGGAATCCTCGTGTCTTCCTCTCTTTACAACTTAGCCAATATTTTTACATGATTGGATTTGTGGATCTGGTTAACGAGGCATCCTGTGTGATCTTGATGTTGCGTATAAGGCATTCTTTAAGAACAAAGTGAAATAAAAGGTTTACATTTATTCATCCAGTAAACATCAGGTACTATGTTAGATGGAAGAGGAAGTGAGAGGGTCTAATGATGATGTGGGAGAGAACTAAGCTGGGAGAACGGGCAGGGAACAGAACAAGCTGAACTGACAGTTCCTGTGTGGGTAACTCTGCCCCAGGACCTTGCCCAGTGCTTGTACATGGTGGGGGTGGGGGTGCTCTTTCATTAATTGTTCAGCCACCTTTGTACTTCAAAGTCTTTAAAATTAGAGTTCAGTGGGGCGCAGTGGCTTACACCTGTAATCTTAGCAGGTGGGAGGCTGAGGCGAGAGGATTGCCTTAGCCCAGGGGTTCCAGACCACCCTGGGCAACTTGAGACCTCAGCTCTACAATAAATCAAAAAATTAGCCAGGCATGATGGCTGATTAACTACTTGGATGACTGAGACTGAATGATTGCGAGCCCAGCAGGTCGAGGCTGTGGTGGTCTTGAATGTGCCACTGCATTCCAGCCTGGCAACAGTGAGACTGACTCAAAAAAAAAAAATAGAGCTTAAATTAGATTCAATTTTTAAGAGATGAGGGTCTTGGTATGTTGCCCAGACTGAAATTCCAGGGCTCAAGTGGTCCTCCTGAGTAGCCAGAACTATAGGCACACACACTACTACCATGCTTGGTAGTAGGATTTTTTTTTTTTCTTTTTTTAATCTTGCTGTCTATGCTTGTTGGTGGGTCTTGGGAACAGATTAATTAGCAAATTAAACTCTGTCCCTCCACTCCAAGCAGTATCCTTTAGTGGAGCCTCCTGTGGGTTTGGTGATGTCCAGAAAGGGAAGTCCCAACTCAATATCACCTCAGGTCTTCCCATAGTTGTTGGGTTCTTTGAAAGGCTGGCCTTTCACCATACAGCTATGATTACTTCTCAGGCCAGTCTCACCTATCTGGTTTCCTTTCTTAGACCATCTTAGCTCATTTTAAGCCAGACACCTGCAAGCCACTTCTGTGCCAGCTCTGACTACAGCAAAAGTGGACACTTGCAACACTTGCCCTGATACTACCTCCAGGGGAGGTCCCATCATTCCAGAGTTCATGGGTGGTTGGCAAGGGAGAGGGAGACCACTTGGAATGAGTTATGCCAAGGAGAGTGAGAGGATTTTTAAGAATTTTTGTGGCTGGGCTCGGTAGCTCAGCCTGTAATCCCAGCGCTTTGGGAGGCCAAGGTGAGTGGAGCCTGCGGGTTCGAGACCTGCCCAGGCAACTTGGTGAGACCTCATCTCTACAATAAATCAAAAATTAGCCGGGTGTGGTAGCACATGCTTGTAATTCCAGCTACTTGGAAGGCTGAGGCGGAAGGATCACCAGAGCCCAGAGGGTCAAGGCTGTGGTGGCTGGGAGCTTGCCACTCCACTGCAGTCTGGGGGACGGAGTTAGACTCCAACTCAAAAAAAAAAAAAAAGTAATAATAATTTTTGCTTCTGTTTTTTTTTTTTTTTTTGAGTTAGTCTCACACTGTAGCCCAGGCTGGAATGTGGTGACAAGCTCACAGCCACTGCAGCCTCAGCCTGCTGGGCCCAGGTGATCCTTCCACCTCAGCCTTTCAAGTAGCTGGAACTATAGATGCACACCACCATGCCTGGCTAATTTTTTTAGTTATTGTAGAGATGAGGTCTCACCACATTGCCCAGGCAGGTCTGGAACCCCTGGACTCAGGCAAGTCTCTTGCCTCTGCCTCCCAAAGTGTTGGAATTACAGGTGCACACCACCACACCCTGCTCACTTTTTGAGTTATAGAGATGAGGTCTTACCAAGTTGCCTAGACTGGCCTTGAGCCCCTGGACTCAGGCATGTCTCTTGCCTTCACTTCCCAAAATCCTGGGATCAAGGTGTGAACCACCACACCCAGCTATATTTTTGAATTTTTAAGAGACAATTTAATGCCAGCAGTTTACTTTCTATATGGGAAACTGGCACAACACCTCCCACATGGTGGGCACTCGCTCAGTATTGCTGGATGAAAGAATTAATGCAGTGTATCAAGAGCTAGTGGATGCTGGGCATGGTGTCTCACGCCTGTAATCCCAGCACTATGGAAGGTGGAGGCAAGAGGATCACCCGAGTCCAGGGGTTTGAGACCAACCTGGGCAACTTGGCGAGACTTTGTCTCTACAATAAATCCAAAAGCTGAAAGTGGTGGTCCACGCCTGTAGTTCCAGCTACTTGGAAAGCTGAGGTGGAAGAATCACTTGATCCCAGCAGGTTGCTGCAGTGGTCATAAGCATGCCACTGCACTCCAGCCTGGGCGACAGAATGACACTCGAACTTAAAAACAAAAGAAGAGCTAGTGGATGTGATATTTTTCTACTTATTGTAAGACTCTTGAAGGAAAATGGTTTTGTTCACTTAACTCCTCATTGTTGGCTAAGGCTAAGGAGTTGAGGTAAGGTCCACATTCTTAGCAAACAACACGTAAGTGTACAGGGAACCAGTTCTTTTTTTTCCTTTCTTTTTTTTGAGTCCGAGTCTCACTCTGTCGCCCAGGCTGGAGTGCAGTGGCATGCTCATGGCCACCACAGCCTCAACCTGCTGAGCTCAGGTGATCCTCCTGCTTCAGCCTTCCCAGTAGCTGGACACAGGCATGCAACACCATGCCCAGCTAATTTTTTGATTTATTGTAAAAACAAGGTCTCTCCAAATTGCCCAGGCTGGTCTCTAACCTCTGGGCTTGGGTGATCCTCTCACCACCTCCCAAAGAGCTGGGATGACAGGCATGAGCCACTGTGCCCGGCAGAACCAGTTTTTAGAAAATTTTCATTAAAACGAAAAGGTCAGGTTCAGCGGCTCACACCTATAATCTCAGTACTTTGAAAGGCCATGGTGGGAGGATCACTTGCACCCAGTGGTTTGAGACCAGCTTAGGCAACATAGAAAGACCTCATCTCTACACAAAATCAAAAACTTAGCCGGGTATGGTGGTGCATGCTTGTAGTCCCAGCTACTCAGGAGGCTGAGGTGGAAGGGTCACCCAAGCCCAGGAGGTCAAGGCTGTGGTGAGCTGTGATCATGCCACTGCACTCTAGCCTGAAGTGAGACTCTGACTCAAAAAAAGAAAAAAAGAAAATAGTCCTTTTGTAAATTATAACCAGGGAATGTTATATCCCTGAGATGTCCAAGTTTGCTTTCTTCAAGGTTTACTTATGATTTGAGAAGACATTGGAGTGAGGGTGTGTGTGGGTAGACTGAAACAATATACTGATAACTTAGTTATTGGTCTGGTGCAGTGGCTCATGCCTATAATCCCAGTACTTTGGGTGGCCGAGATGAGAGGATTGCCTGAGTCCACAGATTTGAGACCAGTCTGGGCAATTTGGCGAGACTTCATCTCTACGATAAATAAAAAAATTAGCTGGGCATGGTACCACGTGCCTGTAGTTCCAGCTACTTGGAAGGCTGAGGTGGAGGGATCACCTGAGCCCAGCAAGTCGAGGCTGTGGTGGCTGTGAGCATGCCACTGCACTCCAGCCTGTGTGACAGAGTGAGACTCCAACTCAAAAATGAAAACAAACGAACAAAAACTGTCAGTGATTGCGTACTTTGCCAAATTTGTGTTAATCAATTGATTCTCTCATTTATCTTCACAGCAGCTTCAAGTGGTTGGTAGTATCATCTCCATTTTACAGATGAAATTAATTTGCCTACTCATTTATTCATCAGATATTTATTGAGGGACTACTATGTGCCAGATCCTTGTCTGGACTATGGGTATGGTAGTGAATAAAACCTAACAAAGCCCTGCTTGCTTGGAACTTAATGGTCCAAGCACTTCCACTTTATGACAAGAGGTAAGTATTATGGAGAAAGATCAAGCATGGCTGGGAGGAATGAGGAGGAGTCTGTACGTTTGGGTATGTGTGGCTGAACAGAGCTGAGGAATGCCAGGGACCAAGCCTCCTGGCTAGTTGGGGGAGAAATATTATCAGAGGGGAGAGCAAATGCAAAGACCCTGAGGTAGAGCATGCTTGGAGTGTTTGAAGAAAAGCCAGGGGAGAACGGTGGGGGTGGATAGTAGTATCTGTGTGTCAGTACAAGGAGGCAGGTGTGCACATCACCTGTGACCTTGTAAGCTTTTGTAAGGAATGTGGATTTTACGGAAGGAGATGGGAGTCCTTGGAGGGTGCTTGATCTGACTTAACTCTTTAAAAAGTCATTCTGGGGGTGGGGGGGGTGGACACAACATCAATAAGGGTACCTGATCTCAAACCAGGCAAAGTGGGAACCAAAGGGAGGCCCAAACATGACCTGTACGATGACCACTTGTATACCTCATCCTGAATTGTACCCCACATCTTTAAAATAAAATAAAAATAAAAAGTCATTCTGGCTGCCATGTGGGAAAGACACGAGTGGGTAGATGGGAAGATGAGAGTGGAAGCAGTGAGGTAAGGAGGCTATTACAAATATTTCAGAGGTTAGGTAACTCTCAGTAGACATTCATCTCCAGGGGAGTGGAGCCAGAATTCACTCTCCCAGGTGATCAGACCCCCAGGGCGCCAAGCTGTACCCACAGCTCCATGTAGTTTCCATTGCCAACATACAGCATCTACTATGAGACTGTTTGTAAGCCCTTTGCTGCCATATCTCATCTGACACTCGCAATATCCTTTAAGAGACAGATATTATTATTACCCCAACTTCTGTCATTATTATTAACAGCATTTTACTTCTGGGGAAGGTTCAGAGAGAATAGAAGTTCTTTTCCAGGTTCAGAAGAGCAGATAAAAGCCACTGGCTCAGAATCCTGAGGGTTTATTCTGGAACATTTGTGTTTTTCTTCCTAACTATGTATCCCAGAACTTGAAAAAAATGTCTGGAGCCCCAGTAAATAATTCT